ATTAAAGCCGACATCAGCCGTCCAGAGATCCAACAACATACGAACTATTGGGCTGAGGCAAGACGACAAGGGATTGCTCTAGGTCTCTACAGAAAGCAGTTGCTAATGGAAGGGTTCCAGAGAAATGCGGCAACCATCACTATCGCTAAATGTGATCAGTTGTTCAGATATATGCAAACGTATTTGCCACGATGTATAAATGGCGAAGAAATTGAAGGCTAAAATAGTTTTTTTTTTAAATCGCTAATGATTGTTTTATTTCTCTTATTGTTCATTCGAATCATGCAAATGTTTGTCGAACCACGCTATAGAATATAACGTTGACCCTCATGATTGTCCAAGCGCGTTATAGATTGTCAATGATTATGCTAATAGCACTAATGAATTTTCACTTTTAGGGAAATGATTGTCCATAAATGCAATTGTCTGTCATTTGGTGTTATTGAACTAGTTGAATTTCGCGCACAATAAAATACATTCCGCGCATATGAATGTACAAACGCGCTATTGATTGTCCATTGATGCCTATGAATGTACACGCATATTCAATTGTCGTTATTGAAAGTTGATCCGCGCTAATGATGTTACTTGTGGTGTTGATGAAAGTACATTACACGTTATTGATACAACTATTGGCACAAATGAATGTACATTTTCTGTTAATGAACGGCAAAAGGTGTAGTAATTGAGCAATTCAACAACCAAACAAATGCAGCTATTTCATGTCAATTTTTTGTTTATCTAATTATATGCGAGAAACCTTTTCAATGGCACGAAGTTTTTCCTAAATGACAAAAATCTTGGATCAAAAAGCCATCAAAATGTTCTGGGTACAGGTAATGTAATACGCATAAAATTAAAATTAGGAATTTTTGTAAGGGCTAGAAAATTAAAAATGTGTCCATAGAGAGGGGCATTTTAATTTATTTTACAACTATCTAGTTTCAGTGATAGTTAGTATTATAAAAAGAGATACAATGGTACCTGTTGGATCGGTGCTAAATGGTGTCAGAATCGCCCGTGATCCAACTTCGTTTCTTAGGTAACTCATTAGGGCTTCAAGGGCAGTTTTCTCTTCACACTCTGACTTGTTACGGTAACTTTGTGTGAACACCTGTGCATTTAGCTTCGCTTTAATCAATTCCAGATAATGAAGGATTCTTAAGTGATTTTACATTTTTTTGTTCTTTTACTTTCTCTTCCACCAACGGCTTTGCATGCCTTTGGAAACTATATCATTATTGGAAGGAATTCTTACCGTAACTTAGAAATGGTTATTTAGCCCCTTTCCAGTACTTCGTCGAACGTTTTTAATAAATTGCAATTCTTTGTCCCAAAAAAGTGAAAAGCGGGCTTAAGCAAGAATGAGATCATTTACATGTAACACYTTTGATAATATCTAATCTTTTAAGTAGCTTAAACCAGGATAAACTTGTTATGAAATAAAGTAGAGACAATCGAAACCCGGCAAGTCAAAGCACATTATCATGTTGAAAACAAAAAGAAAGCAAAAAACAAAAAACAAAAACAAAAACAAAATAAAGGCATGCAACAACAAATGTGGTTCAGGCTTTGGTTTTGGTTTCTGAGAGTCGTGTTCACAGTGATATGCCGACTCTTACATGAACCTGCTGAATGTGGAAACTGTTATCCCTTTGACTTGTACTTTAAATTAAACTGCTTAGTCTAGAGACCCCTTTAAGCCTGSTTTTCACTAATCGACGCAAGCATAAGCACAATGGCAAGCCAACAGGGGGGAATCTTACGCGGTCTCTTGTGCTTGCGTCGCTTCTTTTCAGTGAGAACAT